ATACAACATACTTTGTGGGATCAAAAAGGCCGATCTCTAAGATTATTCATAACAACGTCATAAACGCCTAATTCCTGGAGTTCCGGTAAATTCTCGTGCAATTGGTGCAAATTTATAAATAGCTGACGTGTATTGCAGGGGCTACGGAAAGCCAATGTGGTAATAAATACTGGTGGACAACGCTCTCCGATATTGGAGGTAAAGTTTAGCAGAATGAGCGATCCTATGTCAGTCCAAATGTTCATTCTAATTAGCAATACGTACTTCTTGGATGGCTTGGTAAGAATAGCGCTAGCTCGGTGACTATAGGTTCGACCACAGTGTTGTTCAAGAACGTTCGTTGAGATTGCCATTGGCAGAGGAATGGTATGAAAATTCGAGATTTCGTGTATGGCATTGGCAGCACATTAAACATACATTATGCAAGAGCTAAATCTGCCAATTGCAGATCTTTCTTTAGGCCTGAAATGTTATCTAAATTATTAATTAAGACATTAATTAACTTATCCAGACCATAATCAACTCTAGATGGCATCGCTATCCTGCGATTTTTACTGGATTAGAACTGGGTCTGCTGCTTCTGATTAAATCAAAAAATGGATAATCGAGACTATGTTTATTATCGTACCGACTTTAGTAATGATGATCGAAGCTAGGCACCCAAATTCAATCGCTAAACACTCGGTTCAGGGTGAATCAATTTGACTAAAATTTTCAGGAAATTCACTTTACATTATCTAGTTTTTATCTATTATAGTGAGAACTACCAGCTCTTTATCTAATCTCCCATAATGTATCTTAAAAAGCACCATGAAACGGTCCATTGTAAAAACGGACCAAACAATAGTTCTATAGAGGCTCAATACAAGATATTACTACTAAATATTTTATTGTAAAGAATAATATAGGCCAATAGACCGATCTGAGTACGTAGTATTTATAACAGGTTTTATTAGTAATGGCATATTACATATAGACTGAATGCTAATACATGATTAAAGAGATTCCTTTCAAGGCGCTTAACCTCTTTCATTCATGTCAAAATACGGTTGGCTTCACGGTTTTAGTTTTCGCACTCGCTCTCAAATGTACATTCTGATTAAAATACAGATCTATATTTCGTTTCGTTTTTTGTATATTTTCGATGGCCTACATGAAGATCTAATCAGTTGTAGTTGAAGGTCGCGTCAGAGGTCATACGAACGACTTTTGGCCCTATGCTGTCTAGCATTTGATAAACCAATCAGCATTGGTGTTTCAAGTAGATTACCCACAGTTCCGTGCACCTCACGGGTTTTCTCCGGGTCCTCCGGTTTCCTCCCACTGCTACAGACCCCTACGCGCAAGCGAATTATTGAAATAAAATCGAACCATGTGTTAGTCCCGAAATGACCTAGTCAGTGTCGAGTGGACGTTAAACCCCATCTCTCTCCCTCTCGCTTTGTGGCTGTTCTCAAGCGGCGCTAAATGCAGACAGACGGCATATGATACAAATTTTTCCATTTTTTTGAGGCGTGGAAACAAGGCACAAGGAATGTTATTAAAGAATGTTTGGAGACATCTCGACCAAATGTTCAAGAATTCCATTCAGGGTATAACTTCAACTTGATACTCCCAATTTACAAGAAAAGGGTGGGTCTGGATTATATTTCTCTTTCTTAAATATACCAGTGGTCGAAGACATGTTTATGTGTGAAAACTGTAGAATATCCTGTATAAAGACACGGGTTTAGCTTTTTGGGGGGGGGGGGGGATCACGTGGCTAAGTGGGTAAGACGCTGGCTCGCTAGCCTGGAGGTCGTGTGTTCGATCCCTGCATTGGCCGAGAAAGTTCATCCAGATTTTCCGGCGTGGTTCTCCCTAGACAGCTGTCTAGTCCTTCGGATGATACGAAAAACCGAGGTCCCGTGTATACATTGGAATGCACGTATAAGATCCCTTGGCAGTTGGAATTCGATATAAGAGTAGGCGATAGTGCCGCTGCCCGGGCAAATTTCCCTCATAGCACACTGTATGGCATCTTCATTAGCCCAGTATAGGAGCAGAAGGGGGAATCACGCCGGAAAATCTGGGTGAACTTTCTCGGCCAATGCAGGGATCGAACCGACCTCCTGGCTAGCGAGCCAGCGTCTTACCCACTGGGCCATGTGATCCCCCCGAATACTGATGTTCCAAACAACTTTTTGGTTGCACATAAAAAGTTAATGGGCCCAAGGTAGCTCATACAATACTCTTTGGCACTCCTGTAATTTCTGAATCAGCAAAAATGTATAACACTTCAGTTTTAATTTTAAACACCTCCCATATGTTTTGAACTCAAATACTATCTGGCATTGGCTTATTTAAAGGTTGGTGAGACGAAAACGGGCTAAAGGTCAATGTATAATACAGTTTTATCCCCAAAATGATAAGTCAGTAATTACTGTGGACCCACCCTTCAATGCATTAAGTAACTTTTTAGGCTCCTCTTTTCGAAAGACCTGATTCACTGACCGACGCGTAATGTTTCCGATTTAATTTTAAAATCTGAACAGAGCGCCAGATGTTTGCAGTTAGATATGAAATGTTCCCCATTTCCCTGTCTGGAAAACGTATTATATGACTAGTTTGTATATTATCTCAAGTTGAAAAATTTGATAGACGTTTCTGAGAAAAATAGCTGCTATTTTAAATCTGCAAGCTGTTATCTGTTGATAAATTTGTCATTCGGGTAATGCACTATTTTAATAGTTATCACGTTCTCTTGCGCAATAGCATTCCCTTCCTCGTATTGCGCACGTAAATTGGGGACGTGTCCTTGCGCAGTTGCATTTAATTCCTTGCATTGCGCATGTAATCATAAAATGTAAGTTACCAGTTGCTAGTATCAATATGACCATGGCGCCGTTGGCCGAGATGGTTCTCTAGGATATTCCTACGATGTTTCTCCCAGCCTGTGGTGCAAGACGGAGGGCCTGGCATGGAAACGGTACTAAATATGTGGACTTTAAAAATGATACCAAAGTTGTGACCTCTTCGAAAAAGTAAAATTAGGAAGATACTGTGTGTCACTTTCCCATATTAATAAACTACCAGTAATAAAATGGCAACGCCCCCAAAATCTACAAATTTATAATGGAATGCGAACTAGAGAAACAGAGAGAGAGAGAGAGAGAGAGAGAGAGAAATGGGGTTTAACGTCCACTCGACACAAACTAGGTCATTTCGGGACTAACATATGGTTTAATTTTATTTCAATAATTCGCTTGCGCATAGGGGTCTTTAGCAGTGGGAGGAAACCGGAGGACCCGGAGAAAACCCACGAGGTTGGACTAGAGAAACAATAGATGAGTAAAATTGGAATTGGTATAAAATACCACGATAAACCTGTTGCCCCACTGATTCACCCCCGACCCCTCCTGCTCAAGAAAGGTCATCCAGTCGTACTGGAAGACAGGGCCTATTTTAACGTGCTTCTAGATCAGTGGTTCTCAACCTTATTTCGCCAACGGCACGCCTTGGAACACATGAAAAATTAGTGGCACACCTGGCTAAATATATATGAAAATCTGAAATCCGTGCTTTTAAAAAATGCTATGTAGCCTTGTGAATCTGACACGATTGCATAGGGAAACTTAGCGATCATTATGGTCATCGACCACTTTCGATTTCTGCTTCGCCAATAAAATCTTAAAGTAGGCCCTGCTGGAAGACAAGGCTTTATGAATTCGTACTAAAAATCTATCCCAATTCCAAAAAGTTTGAATAAAGTTAAGACAAAACCCAGGTCAGTGAAAATAATTTGCTGAATCAGCATATTAAAATGGTCTGGTAAATCTAAGCTATTAAAGATACATTATGTAAGATTTAGATAAAGAGCTAGCCATTCGTTCTATAATACTTCGAAAGGAGATAATGCAAAATGAATAATTTGAAAATTTCATTCCAATTACTCTATTGCGAGCGAAGATATTAGCCTTCGAATCAAAATCAAAATATGGCTGAATTGTTCTAATCTGTTTAATGTCGGAGAAATCCGATGGCATCGAGAGTTGATTATGGTCTTGTCATGTTAATAAATGTCTAATTATTAGTTTAAATGACATTTCGGGCCTAAAGAAAGACCTGCAATAGACAGATTTAGCTCTTGCATAATGTATGTTTAAGCTATTCATTCAAATTGTGCAAAATTGATGTGTTTGAAATAACTTATTTAATGCCTATTTCATCTGGCCTGCCATTTTTTTCCGGGGGAGAGGGTATTCCTGGTAAACCCTTCTATGAATTTTAACAAACTGTGATTTGTAACAAGGGGGGAATTGGAAAATTCCGATAAGCTTTTTTCGGCCAAAACGGGGATTGAAGACGGTGACTCCGGGTTAGCGAGCCAATGTCTTACTCACTGAGCTACAGCGGTTCCCAGAAAAAGTAAGTATACCCCCCCCCCTCCCCGTGCGATATTTAACTAAGTGTATATTTGTCTGCATTTTCACCTTGGGTTAATGCTGTATAAACACTCCCTGTTTTCATGGGGATCTGAATTTTCAAATACACGTACTTATCGCGTGTTCTAGAAAGAGTAAAAGCGTTCATACTTCACCAAGTAATAGTTGACTGAGGTTTGCCCGCGTGGATTACAAAAAAAGTCAAGTCATATATAAATACAGTGTAGACTGTTAGCAATAGCTTTCCAAACACATAAGAAATGACATATTTGCGTGCACACAAAAGATCCCTTGGCAGTTGGAATTCGATATAAGAGTAGGCCGTAGTGCCGCTGTCCGGGTAAACTATCGTCATAGCACACTGTATGGTGTATGCCCGTCTTCATTAGCCCAGTCGGGACAGAACAGTAGGATGTTAAACCCCATTTCATTTCATTTTACGTAAGAAGTGGTACCAGATTTTTCAAAAACGAGTAAGCCTTCCCGGCTTCATGAAGTCTGTAGTTGAATGAGATGTCACCAGGGATTAATACTGTAATAGAAGTAATATATAAGTAATATATATATATAACTTACCTTACCAGTTTACACGTCTAGCTGTGAATAGAGATATATAGATAGATCCCCTGCTATACGTAAACTGACGGAATACCCAACAGGTTGCAGGCTATATAAACCAAAGTATGGTGCACCGGCACGGCAATAATGACGTTGATAACTTTTACCACATGCAAGAATGGTAATACGGGTTGACTCCACTGTAGTTGATGGGGTGGGCTGATGGTGTTTGAGAGTCGAGATTATTATTTTGTTTATGGTACCGTACTTCGCCTTACCTACTGGACAGCTGTCTAGTCTTTCGGATGGGACAAAAAACCGAGTCCCCGTGTATACATTGGCGTGCAAGTCAAAATCTCTTCGCAGTTGGAATTCGATATATGAGTAGGCCATAGTGCCACTGCCCGGGCAAAATTTCCCTCATAGCACTGTATGGCGTATGCCGGTCTTCATTAGCCCAGTATAGAACCAGAACAGTAGGACGTTAAACCCCATTTCATTTCATTTCTTTTCCTACTGTGGTTCGGTCACTTGGGACTAACAAAGCGTGGTCTATGTGTGTGTTTGGGAAGTAGGGGTGGGGCTCGTTCCCGTAAACCACCCCCCCCACCCTTCTTCAATATGCCACAACCCAGCACTACTATTGCTTTAGTTTCCATAGCGACACGTGGAAATATGTGCCCAGGGCGTTTACGTTCAATACTTTTAATCGTAACCTCAGCAGCTATGGGATTCAAATCGTAAAATCCTACGCGAAATAAAGGGAAATATTTATTCTGTAACAGAATACGCTGTTTATTCACGCAGACAATATCTCATTCATTGTGTTCTATAACTGTCATTCTTTATTCACGTTCACACAAACTTCGCCCATTGAATGCATTTCCGGTTTCTTGATAGGAATATAAATAGACTGTAAATATTATCACGAATTGTAAATATTGTGGTAACATTGAAATTATTTGTCAACTTTTGACATAAAGTTAATTTTTTGTTTTATTTAGCACCACTGATCGCTAAGGAGATGGGAGTGAGAGAGAGAGAGAAATGGGATTTAACGTCCACTCGACACAAACTAGGTCATTTCGGGACTAACATATGGTTTAATTTTTTTATTTCAATAATTCGCAGGAGGAAACCGGAGGACCCGGAGAAAACCCACGAGGTTGGACAGGCGACAGAGATGGGAGTATCGGGGCCAAAGTGGGTATGGCGCTAGTAGGCTGTGTATTAACGTTCATTTCGGGACTAACATATGGTTCAATTTTATTTCGCTTGCCGGTAGGGTTCTATAGCAGTGGGAGAAAACCGGAGGTCCCGGAGAAAACCCACTAAGTTGGACAGACTACCTTACTCCTTGTCACGTACAACCGGGGAACCGAATCCACGCCAGTTGACACAATGTCAGACCGTATGATACAACGCGCACGCGCTGACCATTCGGCCATTCACCCGACCCCCCACCTCCACAGTGTTCGAAAACGTGTTGGCCGAAAAAGTTTCTGTGGGTTGTCCGACTTGGTTGGTCCATGTTGGTGGGGCTTGACGGAGGTATTGGCAAAGAAAATCGTCAATCTATTCTAATAGAACGCTTTGGCGCTCACACAGATCTTTGGCGCTTTGTAAAACGTCCACTACAATTAATAGTTTATATAACATTTCAGGCCTAAAGAAAGACCTGCAATAGACAGATTTAACTCTTGCATAATGTATGTTTAAATTGAATCACTGGTTTAAATGAATGAATATACATCCTTAAAGTATAAAAAAATAAAAATGGGGAAGAAAAAAATATTAACGAAAATAAAGCTTGTCGGGGGCATGGGAGCGCAACCTGTAAAACGTGTTTGCCTATTTATTGCGCGTGGGTGTAAGACGGTTTGGTTATGAAAACTCATTACCAGATAGCGACTAATGGTTACTTTATCTGAGAAAAATTAAGACGCAGAAAATAGAAAAAATAAGTATATTATTTAAGTACAGCATTGTGTAAATTTCCTCTCATTGTTGTATTAAGGACATCATATGTTGGTCATATCGCGACTTTATTCAACCCATTATTTAAAACAATTAATGTTTTTTTCTGTATATGTCGCATGTTTAACGGATATCTTAGAATAGTGTGAATATTTACCAGAGAGCAAGAACCGACGCGTTAATAATGCCATGCTGACCCATTAGTTTTAGTCTACATTTCCTTTAGTGTAACAGAGGGTTGGATTGCCGAATTGTTAGCGCGTGCGCGTTGTATCACAAGGCCTGTCAAATGGTTAGCGTGTGTGCGTTGTATCATAAGGCCTGTCATTGAGTCAACTGGCGTGGTTTTGATTCCCCGGTTGTACGTGACAAGGAGTAGAGTCACTGCGGGTCCTCTGATTCCCTCTCACTGCTAAAGACCCCTACGCACAAGCGAATTATTGAAATAAGATTGAACCATTTGTTAGTCCCGAAATGACCTAAGTTGTGTCGAGTGGACGTTGAACTGACGGAGCCTTAGGCTTTTTCGAAAAGCGTCATCACTAAACGAATAACAGAAGAACAAGAACACGTTGAGTAGCGGTTAGCGACCATGGCAGTTCCTCCTGGTACAACAACAAAAAAATGCACAAGCCAGGCAAAATTCATCACTACAATCACAAATAATACACAAATGACAAATAAATATTACTCACAAGAGAGAGAGAGAGAGAGAGAGAGAGAGAGAGTAACATGGTTCAATTTCATTTCGACAACTCGCTTGCGCTGTTGGAGGTAACCGGAGGACCCAGAGGGGAAAACCCACGAGGTTAGACAGGCGACCCTACTCCTTGTCACGTACAAACGGGGATTCGAAACCACGCCACTTGATTCAGTGACAGGCCTTATTATCTGACACGCATGCGTTAAACCATTCGTCCACCCGCCATCCTCTAAACCCCACCTTGAGCAAACATCTGTAACCATTCAGGGGGGAATCTTGAGCTTGCGCCGTCCAGGGCGAAACTTGAGTTTCCGCCGTTTTGTATCGTTCTTCTAATGGCAATGCCCGTTTTTAATGAAGTAAGCCAAAAGTGTCACCCCACTCAACCCATCCTAACCATTCCACCCAAGGTGCCTTCTGATTGACACGTCATTGCGCAGATTAAAATAAGGGGCGAGGGGCATCCCCTACTATGACATCACCCCATCCTATCGGGGATGAAGATAGCCTGGGTTCTAGGCAAAGTTTGCATGTATGACTTTATATTTATGCTACAGGATATCTTAGAATAACCTTGATATATTATAATTATGCCCTTAGTGCACAGAAACTCGGACTCCATCAAAATCGAGGTGTTTATGCAAAGTGCGGCGGCGGCATAATTTTTTCTAATTATGTCAACAGCCTTTACCACACGTGAGATGTTTTAAACAAGATTTTAAGAGAATTTCGGATTGAGTCATTGCTGTAGAAAGGTCAAACGGATGGTGTTTATTTTTCAAATTTGTGTTTTCTAGAACACTTGGTTATATTGACGGATAAAGCCGTATATTTATATATATAAAAACCTGTGATTACAGTGCATTAAAACATGTATGTTGGAGAGAGAGAGAGAGAGAGAGAGGAGAGAGGAGAGACAAATATACGTTGAAGACTAGGGGGTTCTGGGTGACCGAGACTAGATTAACATCTACTCGACATAAACTAGGTCATTTCGAGACTAACATATGGTTCAACTTTATTTAGGTATATCATATAGACTTAATGTTTACATGTACAATTCCATAATGATGATGAGAGAGAGAGAGATGGGGTTTAACGTCCACTCGACATAATCTAGGTCATTTCTGGACTAACATATGGTTCAACTTTATTTAGGTATATCATATAGACTTAATGTTTACATGTACAATTCCATAATGATGATGAGAGAGAGAGAGATGGGGTTTAACGTCCACTCGACATAATCTAGGTCATTTCTGGACTAACATACGGGGTAATTTCATGTCAATAATTCGCTTGCGCGTAGGGGTCTTTAGCAGTGGGAGAAAACCGGAGGACTCGGAGAAAACCCACGAGGTTGGATAGGCGACCCAGACCTTATGATGCAACGCGCACGTGCTAACGACCCCCCCCCCCACCCTGTTGATCACAGATTAATGGCTAGCTACGAGAATGTAGCTAAACACGTTGAAAAATACTGATGTGTTTGTTTTTAGCTACGATTGGGTGCCTTTAGTTCACCAGGCAAACTTAATTTCTTTATTAATGCATGTACATGTAACATCTTGGGACTAATTAAACATATCCGGCAAAATGTAGTGAAACAGCTTTCGTTTAATTGCAAATGTTGTTTTTTAAACAGAATTGACACGGCCGTTCATATTTACGGTGCATTAGTCATGTGCGACCTATAAAGGTTCTCTACTTGCAATTTTAAATAGTGTAAGTCGCGTATTTTGATTGGCTGTTGTACACGACGTATATTTAGTACCGCATCCATGACGTTAAGACGTCAAATCTATTCCGCTTTAAAGTAGCTAAGTCTCTAACTCAATATCATCAAAAATCTTCGACATTGAAAACGCGAATTATTTGTCAATTCAAATCAACATTGGTCTTGTGATCTTACAGGGAAAAGATGGCCTTCTGATATCCAATATTCGTGTACCATAATGCATTTCAGCGCCATTTGGAACAAGGGACTCAAAGAACAGGGCTAGACATATTCCACAAGTCATGTCAAATGGTGACGCTATATTCTTATCTGGAGAGCATGCGCAATAAATACCATCGGTGTAGACTGGAAAAAAAAACAGACGCTAAAGATTGCCATTCACATGAGACTTCTGGCGTATTTCGCCGAACATAACTGATTAGAAATTGCAGTAAAAACAGAAATGATTGAATGTAAATCAGTTTATATACATTCATATTACATTATCATATGCGTTGCGACCCATTTTTGTCAATTTCTAGGTCCCAAATATTAGCGATTTAGCTCTTTTAAAGTGTCGGGCTAAGTCAGCTTTTAATGCCTCGATTTAAAAGAGATGATTTATACCCGGGTTATATGCTTAATTGTAGATGGATGTTGCATAAATGTAATAAATAACAATAATCAATCGTTATTTTGAAGAAAAAATTGA